TTTTGAATTTTTTATTTACGATAAAAATGTATGTGTATTTGTTTTTACAATCGTTAGAAAAAAATTGCACTTTCTCTTACAAAGATTTTGTTTTTCTTATTTGTTTATGCTTAAATGTGGTTGTTTTTTTTTTTTTGTTATTTGCCTTATTCAATTCTGTGGCTGTTTCAAATATGTGGGGTTTTATTTTTGAAACCCACAACAAAATTTCGAGTACATACTATAAATCTATAAATATGGTACATTCATACATACATATATATGAGAGCATTAGTTTTATTTTCTGGTTTCATTATTATTTGTTATACCTGCATAAAAATTGTAACATTGGAAAACTGTTATATAAAACACGAATGTGTATTTGTGTGTGTGTTGGTTAAAAGGTGTTTGTGTTTGGTAGAAAAAAACCTGGCTATAAGTTTAAGATTAGTTTGTTTTTTTTTCAAAATTCCTTTATATCAATTCGCAGAAAATATCTTCTAGTTTATAAATATAAATATTAGCAAGAGAATTAGTATTTTTTGTTTTGGTTTTAGATAATATGACATTATCATAATTAAGGTTATATCTTTTTTGTGTTAGATTGTTAGAATAAATGTTATTAGGTTTTCTTTGTTTTTGGTTTTACTTCGACAATTAAAGATTTTTTGTTAATAGGAATAAATTTATTGTCTGTCTCTCTTTTTTTAAGAAAAAGAAAAATGTATATTTTTTGAAAATATTTTTTTTTTTAGATTTCATCTTTTTTGGTTCATGAGTTTGAGTTAGGATTCCTGATTTGGTATGTTTTTCCGATTTATAAGCCAATAGAGTTTTTGTTTCTCATTTTTTTTTCACATTAACAATAAATTGTAAGCCTAAAAAACTAAATAACAAAGTTGTTGTATATATTTATTTTTAGTTTGGGGGTTTTTTGTTGAGAAATTTTTGGGGACAAATTGGGAGCTTCATTTGATTTCCCCAACCGGAATTTTTAACAACCAACAAGCTTCAGCATATATTGAGGCGCATTCAAAGCAAGCTGTAAAGAATGAAAAATATTGTTATTAATAAAAATTACGCAGTATGTAATGTACAACTGTAAGTAAAAAGTCGAACGAGGCCGACAATATGATACCCTATACCACTTTGGGCATATACAAGAAATGCTTCTAATATTATTTTTATAACATACAGTAATGTACCCATTTAAAACAAACTTAACTCTACTTTGGTTGTATCCTTTGCCCTTACAGAAAAAAATACACCACATGATAACCCAAGATATGAAATTAGAGCTTATTTAGTTGAAAAATGTTCCCAAAGTCACCAAAATATCGAAATTAAACAGGTACCAAATTTCTAAAATGATGACCAATTTTGACATTTTTGCAGGGAGATTATAGAATATTTTGTGACAATCCGCGTAAGTTTGGTGCACCATCAGTCGAAAATACACATGTGAGCTTTATCTAAATCGTTTGCCTACTGGGAGTAGAGCTGAATTCTAACGGAAGCGTCCACAGGTTGCGGATAGTGGAAAGCCCAATGTTTTTCTTTGGGTAGCTGTGAATATTAAATAATCAGTCATGGACAATCAGCTAGTCCTGGGGAAGAATCTCGGAGGAAATGACCGAGTGCCTATGATCCCAGGACAGATGACACGAAAATGACCCCCTTATGCTGGGGTTTTAGGCGACCTCGTGCATATCAGTGTGCACGGTTTGCAGTCAGGGTTCCGATTGTATTCGATCGGAGCTTTGGTGATATCTGGTCGCCTTAACTATTTATACCCTTCACCACACTGTGGTACACTGAGTCGATTTAAGCATGTCCGTCCGTGATACGCAACTCCGTCCGTCTGTAGATGTTAAATTGCAAACAAAGTACAGGTCGCATTTATGATCCTATTTGGATGAAATTTGATTTAGATTTAGATCTAGCTCCCATATATAATTTTGTCCGATTTCATGTAAATTGTGCATCAAAGTCCCTATATATCTTTCGATTTGCACGAAATTTGGTATAGCGCACTGAATTGAGTCTAGAATTACAAATTTTAAGCTTCGTGAAAATTGAGTTTAATTTAGATATAGCTCCCATATGTATTTTCGTCCAATTTTATGTAAATGGTGCATCAATGCAAATCTTTCGATTTGCACGAAATTTGGTATTGCGCACTGAATTGAATCTAGAATTACATATGTTGAGCCTCGTGAAAATCGGTTCAGATTTTTATATAGCTCCACCAAATTTGGCATAACGTACAAAATTGAGTCTAAAATAAGCTGTGTTAAGTTTCGTCCCGATTATATTCGATCGGAGCATTGTTGACAAATGGCTGTATCAACAATTTTTTTCATGCTTAACTGATAAGCCTTACTATGATAAGAGACTATGCAATGGCTGACCTCAAGTCCTCACTTCAAAAAACTTTTTCTGCAACCCTCATTCTTTAAGAAATAAAATTTTATGGTATACGATTTTTCTACTGATGTTGGTATGTCTGCCTTTGCGACCTCAGTCTCGGACTATAAAAGGTCAGATCCCAATCATCCTCCAAAACAGTGACGACCAATGCTAATCTACCCGACCACTTTTCGATTTCATCACACCACATCACTCTCGACGATGTCAATGCAAGCCTGGAGAGGAAACCGGCTCCTTCCGCATTAGTCAGGAGAGTATCCCGACCTATTTCGGGGATGACACTTTGGTGATTAACACAAATATTATCTCAGTGACTCCTCCAAATCAACCCGACCAGTCTTCGGTTTCATAACACCCCATCACTCTCGACGATGTCAATGCCCGTTTAAATTGTTGTTGTAGCAGTCATATTGATTTTAAACAATGGGCTTAGGTGACAGACCTTGGCCGAGTAAGGCTCGGGTCGTTTCGGATCGCAGACCCCTCAGTCGTGGAAACGCAGAGGCCGGTGCTGATGACCTCCCCATCCAAAAAATTTAAAAAAAAAACTAAGTAGCAAACGTGAATCAATATAAGAATGAAGTCAATTACATGTGGCGTGACATGGGTACGGGTATTCAATCTATACACATACCGGATAACTCTGTTAACAGCCATCTGAATGAGACGCAAATTAAAGGGACTAGAACCGGAGTAAACTTCCAAATCGTAAAGAAAAGCGGGCAAAACCAATGCGTAAGCCAACCGCTTCCTAATGGCACAGCTAAATCCGTGGCATAAAGACCCCGAACGGAAGAATTCATCTGAGATGCAATCCCATTAATGTGACTTCCAAAACTCAATTTATCATCAATGACCATCCCAAAGCACATCAATTCGGAGACAAATTCAATATATCTATCATCATAGGCAACAGATACAAAACTATTACTAAACAAACCAAAAAAAGCGCTTTTGTTTTCGAAGAGTTAACACAAAGAGAGTTTCTAGTTACCCAGACATATAACACCTTCATGGCAATACTGATGCAAATCGACAATCTCCTTTGAATAACAACTGAAAAATTGTTTCACAAAAAAAAAAAACTCAGCTCTGAAAAAAGATCGTTAAGAAAGATATTAAAAAAAGCGGGCCCAAAACCGACCCTGAGGAACACCACTTTTAACAGGTAAAATATAACTACATCTATTGTCAGCACAAACCAACTGCTCTCTGCCAAATAAATAAGACGCCAAAAGATAACTCGCGCTTCTTGAAAACTTATACAACGATTGCAACTTACGAATCAATTAGAATGATCAACCCTATCAAACGCCTTTTCCAAGTCAAGCGACAAGAGAACGCAAAACCTGGTATTGTCTAAACTAGCACGTATGCTATCTGTCAGTCCCAGCTAAAGCGATGCAGTACTCCTATTCCTTCTGAAGCCACATTGTGCATCATTCAACAAACAATTGTTGTGCACGTAATAAATAATCTGTGACTTCAAAACATGCTCAACAACTGTAGAACATATTGGCAAAATAGAAATCGTGCGAAATTCTTGAGGCTCACCAACAACACTCTTTTTCTTAACAGGAACAACCTTAGCTAATTTCCAAGCTGTAGGAAAAACAGATGTAGTTATTATCATGTTAACTAGATGTAAAAAATGCACAGAAAGCGGACGGAAGACAATCTTTAAAAACTCGATTGATCTGTTATTGCTGTATAAACCAACAATTGGCAAATACGAAGCGAATGCTTGCGACAGCTGCGTCAACCTCTGCGACAGCTGCAATTCTGGGAACCGAATCTCGAACATAACTTATGGCTGTGAAGAGAATGAGGGTCTTGGATAAGCAGCCGAAGTCGCTAGATGCTCGTCAAACTGCTTCTGCCAAGAGTGGTAAGGGTGAGGTAAAAGCCAAACCTGCCGTCTCAAAGCAGGAAGCGACACCAGCGCCCAGTAACACACCAGCACCCAGTGAAATTGATAGGTATTGAAAAGCAATAATTCCGAGGTTCACAAAAATTGGTTCATAAAATGGTAGAAAACAATTCAAACAACAACAATTCGGTTTGAGTTAAAAGCAGGGAACGGCTTTAGAGTCCCAAACTTCTAGCGGATATGTATGTTTCACTCCAGTAAGCATATATATAAATATGCTATATCATTCGGAATGTATCTGAAAATTGTCATACTTAAAATCATCTCATTTACTTCTGAAGGTGAAATTAAATGAAGAATTCGGGTCTCGGAATTGTTCCGGAAGACATTACGGTTGAATTGGTGTTTCGTATTCTGTCTACGTCATTAAGTTGACTTTATGTAAAGTATAAAGATTTAGTACACCACCAGAATAATTTGAGACTTTCATACAACTCTGGACTTACATACAATTCTTGCTTGGTATAAACTATAAAAAAGTAAAGGCGTAAAATATAAAATTTTATACAAACTAATATTCTCTACTTACATCAAAATTCTTCCTTTCCCGTCATTCCTCATACACCATCACTTCCAAACAGGCTCATTTCACATTTACGTTTTTCCACACTCGTCTTTTGTTCTTAATTTTTCTCCCCTATAAATCTGCTTGCACTTAAACCGATTTATATGGTTCCAAAGCTACATCGAATAGTTTAATATCACCTTGTATATATATCGTATCAATTGTACTGGGACTAACGCGGAATTTATATTCCGTCAGCAATTGATGATTTACGTAAATCTTAAACGAATCTTCGCCATGGACAATTTGTAAACTGAAGGGTTTGCCGGGTAAAAATTTCGTTTCCAAATCGGAACGTTCCTCCTGGCCCCAATTACCATCGATCCATGAGTTACGTATCACTGTGGCTCGCCCAATGGCACCGGAACTTTGTTTGGTAAAACGTGGATTTAAATGCAACGCTACAACGGGATGTGGCCAACAGTTGTGACCCGACTGCATATTTATGTAAAACGATTGTGGCAGTAGACGGACACGTCCCTCGACCTTAAGTACTCGTCCCAGTTGGAATGAATTGCGCGGTATGGTACCATAATAGGGTAATTTGATTTCATTTAATGCTACAATTTTCGGTTCATATTCGATGTCACCGTTGGCCTTCTTTACGACACGCCATTGTGTTATGACTTTGTCCTCATCCGTATCCGCATTGGGGACGGCAACACGATCAGTCTCATCCTCATTACCACCTACCGTATGGGCATCGGGCAGTGTTGGTTCTCTTAAAGCTCTACCCAATCGTACCGTTTGTGGCACCGATTCTGGTAAACGTTCGGGATAATTTTGCACTTCGGACCGTTCAACGGTAACATCTTCAATTTCTCCCTTTACTTCGAGACTTTGAACACTTTCGTAAGGCAAACGATGATAGAATTTACAAAAATGATAACCATTCACTGAGATCATATAACATTCGTCGGTGAATAGAATCTGTACGGAAAATGCAGCGCCACGTCGTAGGCTGAAGGGCAAAGCGGAGGCTACCTCTTCGCGGCCCCAGGCATTGCGAACTTTTGTGTTGCGTACAATATAATTTTGAGGTAGTCGCGGATTAATGTGCAGGGCAACATCACGTGTGGCATTTTCAATGATGAAATTTATTGAGAACCTGCGAAGGGGAGATAAAATTGAATATTAAGAGTGGTCGGATATGGTATTTCATTTCTTACTTACCTTTCACAATGTTTCTTTGTTCGTCCTTTCACCGTAAAACTGACACCCTCGTGCAATTTGCCCAAGTTCGGATTTTGATATACCGGTTCATCTTCGCCATCCTGATAGAGGATAGTCTGTAAAATTAAAAGAGAAATAAATTATTAATAACAACTTATAAACAATTTTTGTTTACAGAAAAATACAATTGAAATCCATTTTGAAATGCGACAGCAACGTGACAAGCAACACATGGATATGCTTTTCATTATCCAAGTGTCATTAGCATCTGGAGGCATTTACCTCAAACTCAAGATTACCAAGATCATGAACTAGATGTTGACTTTTAACAATTAATATATCTAAAGTCGATACAATTTTAAAAATACAAAAATGTTGTTCTATTTTTTTTATAAAAATTGGAAAGGTTAATAAAAAATCTACAGGTATTTGAATTTGAAGGAGACAACTCAGATATAATGAAAATCTCATTTCTCTGGTACAATTTTGTTCTCTGTTCTTTCCCTCAATTGGATCCAAAGATGTTTTTGCTGAGTTACTTCAGATAATCTGATACTGCTTCTAACTATGAAATAAAAAGATCTGAAAAGGAAACTTAAAAGATACCTTGGAATCAATATCACATTCCGGTCTAATATTCGTGGACATGCTATGAATTTAAGAATATCCCGAATTAAGGCGACCGAACTAATCTGATATTAGTTATGTAATAAACACGCTCGTTGAGAGGCCTGTTGGAGGATGGGTGTTGTATTTATCTAAATAATGCATGCTTATGAACTCATACTACGCTATGGTGTAGAACTTTACGAGAACTAACATTGCCCGATGACCATAGGGTGTGAGGTCTAATATTCGTGGACATGCTATGAATTTAAGAATATCCCGAATTAAGGGGACCGAACTGATCTGATATTAGTTATGTAATAAACACGCTCGTTGAGAGGCCTGTTGGAGGATGGGTGTTGTATTTATCTAAATAATGCATGGTTATGAACTCATACTACGCTATGGTGTAGAACTTTACGAGAACTAACATTGCCCGATGACCATAGGGTGTGAGGAGATGAGACTGACCGTGCTACCGTTCTCTATCCTTATGATGACAAAGACATAATACAGATGCGTGTCGTAAAAAAGGCATATGGTAACATCGAATATGAACCTAAAATTGAAGCATAAAATGAAATTATCTCTATTATGGTACTAAACCGCGCAATTTATTCCAACAACTTGGGATCTTAAAGCTTTGGTTGGCACCTCCTGGGCAAGGACAATGCAAGGTCAAAGGTCCTTCCATCCTTAATTATGCTGCCTCAGTCTGGACTTCTCTCCTTAGCGACACACAATGGAGATCCTTGCTATCAACACAAAATAATGCACTCCGAATTGCAACCGGCTGCGTCCAGATGACGAGTGCCGATCACCCACATGAAGAGACCAGGATGTTCTCAGTCAAGCAACATGCTATCTGCCTTGTCATCCCAATCACCAAACAGTGATGGCAGATCTACATCCGTCAGGACATCAGGCGATATAATGATGGTATCCAAGACGTCAGACTTGAAATATGGAATGTGAATCAAGGTTGAGAAGAAGGGTCGATATAAGAAGGTGGTTTTGGAAAAGTGTACTCATTTGTACAGAAAGTATTAAACAATACTAAATTTTGTAAAATCTGAATTTGGAGGCACGAATAGATCTAGAATCCTGAAATTTGAAGTTTACATTAACGTCGGAGTGTAGGTGTACGAAAAGTACTAAATGGTACTATATTTGGTACCATTGGAATCATGTATCGATTTGTTCTGAAAACTTGTACTTATGGGTACTAAATTTGATACAATTTGGATTTGGGTGGTCGGGTCGAATCGGGCTAGAATCTTGAAATTGGGAAATATGATTTCTATGGGATTGTTGAGGTGGGTACTTGTGGAAATTGATATTAATGTGTACTAAATTTGGTACAATTTAGATGATTCGGTTGGGGTTTGTAGGAAGTTTTTTAAAGGAAGATTTTTCTATAATTTCTATTGGATTGTGTGATGTCAGTAGTTATGGAAATTCTTACTTATGTGTACTGAATTTGGTACTATTTCGATTTGGGTGAATCGATGGGGCTGGAATCCTGAAATTGGGAAATATTATTTCCGTTGTATTTTTGAGGTAGACAGTGTTATGGAAATTTATTTTAGTGTGTACTAATTGGTAAATTCGATGCAATTTAGGTGAACCGATATAGCAGGAATTTTTTTAATTTAGAATAAAGATTACTGTTGGAAGTTTCGGAAATTCGTACTTATATGTACTAAATGTGATTCAATTGGGTTTCTGAATTTGGCAAATCTGATTTCTGTAGGATTTTTGACGTAGGTAGTGTTATGCAAATTTATATTAGTGTGTACTAAATGATATTAAATTTGGTAAAATTTAGATTTTGGTTGAACATTAGAGCTCGAATCAAGAGCTTAACAGTCAACAAATGGTACCAAATTTAGTTAGATCTAGATTTCTGTTGCGGTCTTGAGATATGGAGGTAGATTTGCAAATATGTACTATAGGAGAACAAATGAAATAAAATTTTAACTATGATCGATATTGTCGATGTCGTCTGTTTAGCTCTTCTACTGTGAAAACACCATAATATTTTAAGGCATGTTTATATATTTCCCACATTCGATAACGAAGTAGCGGCCAATAATAATCCAAGTGTCTTCGCATAAAATCATAGCACCTTTATACGGGCACCGCATCGTTTTCGGTACTTTTATAGAAGCATGTTCCAACCGAGCTAAAATTTGCATACTGGATTCTTGGAGGTTGAACAACTCTCTTTGGACAAAATAAAAAAGTCGGTTCTGGCCTCATATGGCTAAAAGTGGATTTTTGGATTCTCTACTAATAAAAGACCTTCTCGCAAGCATTTATATAAACTTCATTATAAGGTGATCAAAATAAAATGATGGTAGGGACACTTTCAAACATTTTTTTTTTATTTATTTATTAGTTATTATTATTATTGAGGTTGGGAACGATTTTCAACGGAATTGGCAGCAAATTTTGTATTTTGGAACCTCATTGGAAGCTATATCTGCATCTGCACCAATTTCAACAGAAGACAATAACGTTATAATAATCTCAATTTAATACGTTGTACAAAAATTCGAGTCAATCGGAGAAATATAAAATCGGACAAAAGTAAATATGGGAGCTACATCAAAATCTTAAACGATTTTCAAAAAAACTTAAAAAACTTATGAAAAGACCAATATCGGCCCTCGATCAGGTATAGGCGACATATGGATACAAGACATCATCATTTATTGAAGTTGGCGGTTTTTTGATGAATATATTTTATATAGATCGAGGCATAGTTGTTTTTTGAAGAAAATATTATTAAGTGCAATGGCGGGGATTAAAACAAAAAAACAAGTAAAAAAGCCGGGCCAAACTTTGGATACCCTCCACCATAGGAAAACTGACAGGTACATGAAATGAAAATATAGGGAACATACCAAAAAGTGGACCTATGTAAACCATAATGTATTCCAAATACAAATTTCAGTTATTTTTAATTAATATTTATACCCTCAGTCTCAGTCAGTGGCTAATGAGGGTGTATACACTTTGATACAATGAAAATTTGCCTCATCGAAATATTGTTTCTAGACCATATGTTTCTTTGGACCAACTCCGTTTCAGAAAAGTTTGATTTCATTCAAACTTCGCACATCTTACGATTTTTTCCAAAGTTTGGTCAAGTTCGAAGATGGGGAATATCGGTCCATTTTCAGTATTTATAAATCCAATATCAGGCAAATGGAATGTCCGATTTGTACCAAACGTTGCACAACATATTTTCTTTACAAAGCCTAGATCAAGTTTGAAGATGGGACCCATTGGTCCACCTCTTCGGGTACCTCCCCCACAAATGTTCAAAGTAATCAATAACTGCGGGTTATAATTAATTATGGAATCTTACGTTCTATTTTTATACCCTTTACCACACTGTGGTACAGGGTATTATGTCTTTGTACATATGTTTGTAACAGGCAAAAATAATCGAAATAGACCCATGGTTCCTTTTGAGAATATGCAGCAACGTACACAGGACTTCATTTCGGGGGGGGCCCGGTAGTACAAAATGAAAAAAATCGCTGTTTCAAACATAAATTTACTGTGAAAAAAATTCATTTCGGGGGGGGGGGGGGGGGCCCGGGCCCCCCGGCCGCCCCCCTGCGTACGTCCCTGAGAATATGCATAGAATCACTTTCTGAGTCGACCTATGCATGTCCGTCCGTCCGTCCGTCTGTCCATGTTAAATTGTAAACAAAGTACAGGTCGCATTTATGATCCGAATGGGACGACATTTGGCACAGCTCATTTGTTTGGCCCAAGGACGAACCCTATTGAAATTGGGAAAAATCGGTTCAGATATATATGGGACCTATATCTAAATAGGTCCCATATATATTTTCGTCCGATTTAAGGTAAATTGTGTACCAAAGTCCCTATATATCTTTCGATGGGCACGAAATTTGGCATAGCGTACTAAATTAAGTCTAGAATGATGTGTGCAAAGTTTCGTGAAAATCGGTTCAGATTTAGTTATAGCTCCCTTATATAGTTTCGTCCGATTTAAGGTAAATTGTGTACCAAAGTCCCTATATATCTTTCGATTTCCACGAAATTTGGCACATCGTAACGAATAAGGTCTAGAATGATGTCTACCAAGTTTCGTGAAACTCGGTTCAGAATTAGATATAGCTCCCATATATAGTTTCGCCCGATTTTATATATCTTCCTATCTTCCGATTTGCACGAAATTTGGCATAGCGTACTGAATTGAGACCAGAATAATGTGTGTAAAATTTCTTGAAAATCGGTTCAGATTTAGATATTGCTCTCATGTAAATGGTTTACAAAAGTCCCTATATATCTTCCGATATGCACGAAATTTGGCATAGCGTAAGACTTGAATCCAGAATGATGTGTGCAAAATTTCGTGAAAATCCTATTTATGTTCGACCGATTTAATGTTAACGGTTTAGGGACTTTGGTACAGCATTAACATTAAATCGGTCGAACATATATATATTTCGATTTTCTCGAAATT